GGCTGGCCACTCCATAACGTCAATCTTGTTGGTCTGGAACCAAGATGTTGCACGTTTACTGGTGTGTTTGGGGTCGTTGTCTTGTTGGAACACCCATTTCAAGGGCATTTCCTCTTCAGCATAAGGCAGCATGACCTATTCTGATGTATTCAAACTGATCCATGATCCCTGGTATGCGATAAATAGGCCCAACACCGTAGTATGAGAAACATCCCCATATCATGATGCTTGCACCACCATGCTTCACTGTCTTCACAGTGTACTGTGGCTTGAATTCAGTGTTTGGGGGTCGTCTGACAAACTGTCTCCGGCCACTAGACCCAAAAAGAACAATCTTACTTTCATCAGTCCACAAAATGTTGCGCCATTTCTCTTTAGGCCAGTCAATGTGCTCTTTGGCAAATTGTAACCTCTTCAGCACGTCTTTTTTTCCACAGTGGGACTTTGCGGGGGCTTCTTGCAGATAGCTTGGCTTCACATAGGCGTCTTCTAATTGTAACAATACTCACAGGGAACTTTACACCTTCTTTCATCTTCCTGGAGCTGATTGTTGGCTGAGTCCTTGCCATTTTGGCTATTCTTCTATCCATTCGAATGGTAGTTTTTTGCTTTCTTCCACATCTTTCAGGTTTTTGTTGCCATTTTAAAGCATCTGTGATCATTTTGGCTGAGCAGCCTATCATTTTCTGCACTTCTTTATATGTTTTCCCCGCTCCAATCAACTTTTTAATCAAGGTACGCTGTTCTTCTGAACAATGTCTGGAACAACCCATTTTCCTCAGAATTTCAGAGAGAAATGCACTGTAACCAGCATGTACAACATTTGCTGCCTTCCTTCCTTAAATAAGGGCAATAATTGCCACCTGTTTTTCAAAGAATGAATGACCTCACTAATAGAACTCCACACTGCTATTATTTTGAACATGCCCCTTTCAATTAGTGATTCAATTACACAGAATCAGCAGCATGCATGTCATGACTGTTGGGTCTGTTGGATTTCTATTACTCTACTACACCTGCTAGTAAATTATTTGCCATGTAGAAATATCATTTCTACCAAAAACAGTGATTGATCAGGTTAGTGATGTCTGACTGCTATTATTTTGAACATAACTATATATATACACGTGAATTTGTATTTCCAGGTAGGGGGCACGCCACCATAGGCTTCAGCTGTAGATTGCAGAGGAACCGTGACAGAAGAGAGGTCTGTATGTAAACAATACAGATCCCTCCCCTGTCAGCTCCAGCGTGCTGCTTTGTATTGCTCTGCATAGCAGTGCTTACACAGTAAAGCACACAGAGACAAAACATTAAAACACACACAGTTAACCCTATGATTGCCCCAGATAATAACCCCTTCTTGCCCAGTTTCATTAGTACAGTGTCAGTACTTTTTATTAGCACTGATCACTGTATTAGTGTCAGTGAGGATGTCAGTGGCGCTTAGTCAGTTCCCCCCCAGTGTCAGAATGCAGTCTCTCTATAAGTCGCTGATCACTGCCATTACTAGAATAAACAAGAAAAAAAAGTCCAATATATATACTGCTATTTGTAGATGCTTTAACTTTCACGTAAATCAATTAATTTAAACATATTAGAATTTTTTTTAGCAAAGATATGTAGCAGAATACATTTTGGCCTAAATTTATGACAAAAATGGATTTTTTTAATGGATACGTTTTATAGCAAAAAGTAAAAAATATTGTTTTTTTTTTAAAATTGCCAGTCTTTTTTTGTTTACAGCGCAAAAAATAAAAACCGCAAATACCACCAAAAGTAAGCTCCATTTGTGGGAAAAAAATAACAAATTTAATTTGGGTGCAGCGTTGCATGACCACACAATTGTCAGTTAAAATATTGCAAAAAATGGCCTGGTCAGGAAGGAGGGTAAGTCCTATGGAGGGCAAGTGGTTAATAATTAAAGAGCTGCATTAATATTCGTCTTTTATATTTGCCCAGAAGGACAAATAATTTTTATCTAGAGCAATATCAGGCAGATCCAAAATGACCATGGCAAATAAATAGTAAGTATTACATATCACAAGCCTACTTCATTTTAAGACATCACAGCATCTCCGGCACATCCCAGTTTCTAAGCCAGCTGAACAAAGAATGTTTTATCCCAGTTGGCAAAAGTATAATCCAGAGATCACTGGCAAATTGCACTCTTCATGGGAGACTTGCAGTTTCCAAGCCACATTATAGACGATAAAAGAATTATAAACATTTGGCATGCATCAAACAATTAAGATATCTCCCTGTAAGATGGGAAGAAAGTCACGCTTACAGATAATTCAAAATCTGAAGTTCAGAATTGGAGAGAGCCACATGAGGTCAAGTCCAGACTTAGCCAGGCCATAGATGGATCATTTATTTTTTCAACCAGTAAACTGCATGAAAAAAAACAAAACAAATGGATTGCTTCATTCTCCAAGAGCAGGCATGTCCAAAGTCCGGCCCGCGGGCCATTTACGGCCCGGGGGTCGGTTTAATACGGCCCTCCAACAGCCCTCCCTGCTCTGTGTAATGTGGCCCTCCCACGGCCCTCCCTTCTATGGCAGACAGTCTTCTGCTTGAGAGCAGAGGGCAGTGCGCATGCCTGACTGCGGCGCGTTCTCCCTGGTCTGTGTAAATGTGGCTGTCGCACGGCCCTCCCTTCTGTGGCAGACAGTCTTCTGCTTGAGAGCAGTGCGCATGCGTGACTGCGCCGCGCTGGGAGCTACAGAGGGGCGGTGACGTCAGGGCCGGGCTTCCAGCGTGAAGTGTGTTTCTCTTCCCCTCCCGGCTGCCGAGCAGAGACTTCAGCTCCAGCTACCTTTTTCACCCTTCACATTAGTGCAGGTAAGTTTTTTTTTAATTTATTTTCAATACATTGTGAAAACTCAGCTGTCAGTTGATCTTAATGTTATGAAATGAAAAGTATGTCGTTTGCAATTGTCTTGGCATAAAATAATTTATTTGCATTTAATTGTAATGGTTCAAAGAATGTTCGGGAAAAATGTTCGGCCCTCCACCATGTTCACTTCATCCAATCTGGCCCTCTTTGAAAAAAGTTTGGACACCCCTGTCCAAGAGGATAGAGGAATCCTTCAAGCTGAGACATTGTATTCTGACAGCAGGGACTCTCTTATTGGCTGCAGCTGCTGATAGGGAAACATTTTCCAGCAACAAGCCTATTTGACAGGAATCAACCACTAGATTGACTTTTGTTGAGCAGGAGCAGCCAAACATGGACCGCAATTTGGCCGGTCCCTACTGAACTGGTCAAATTTCGATCCATCTATGGCCAGCTTAATCCAGTCAAATGCCTGTTAACCTGTTCCCACCTGCCATACGCATATATGCAGCCTCTGGGTGGGTGGACTTTAATGCTTAGAGGCCACATATAGTGTCCCTAAGTAAACATTTTCTGGGCACAGTTACCAGCTTTTCGCTCATGTGACCGCTGTGACTGCTCATGTGACAGCCAATCACCTCTTAAAGGGCAGGGAGGTGGAATCAGGAAGGGGTTAATGTGCTAGTAATACTAATGTTACAAAGCCCCATGTTCCCACCAGATCCTTGGTGGTAGCCTTGTCCCATTGTGCATTCACACACAGAGCGTGGCTTAGACCCGCCCCCCACTCTTTCCTCATTGGCTTAATGGCTGTGATTGACAGCTGCAGGAGCCAATCATTCCCACTGCTGTGTGAGCCAATGAGGAGAGAGAAACCTAGGAGAGCTGCTGCTGTCATGCACATCGCTGGATTGAGATCGGGATCAGGTAAGTATGGGGGGGGAGCTGAGCCCAGAAGTTTTTTTTTAACTTAATACTTAGAATGCATTAAGGTAAAAAAGCCTTCTGACTTTAGAACCACTTTAAAGTGTCACTAAACACACATTATAAAATGCTGTATTACATGCTGTTCATACTTAGTCACTATGAGATTCATTTTCTGTATTCTGCAAAAAACCTGGGTGACCCTGCTGTTCTCTATCTTCCCCTTCTGTTCATGTCCTCAATGCAGTTGGGGATTTTGCAGAGCAGTGTTGGCAACTCTGTACATGCTCAGTTTTCAGTGTATTTTCTACTCTAAGCATTTCCTTTCTATCACATCTGAGCAGCCCATGTGACTACAGAGTGTGGACGTATACACAGTGGTAAACGACAGCCCCCCCCTCCTCAATGCCCACCAACCAGCTAAAAACAATGGGGATGGAATCGTATGTGTAGATTGATGGAGGCTTCACCTCCCACTTATTCTAAAACACAGGCTGGAGGGGCGTGACAAAGCCTGTGACTGGCAGAAATCTGCCCACACCATGTTATTTCCAACAAATAATAAAGATTTGATTTCATATATATTTATATGTCAATTTAAAACAGTTTATTGATATTAATTATTTATTTTTAATCTGTATTCTTTATTATATTTTGAACATATGACCAGCAGCAGATGACTAGATGCTCCTCTTGCTTATTTCTCCTTGCAGACAGGCTTGAAAAGAGCTGGGTCATGTGACAGCTATATATTGAAAAAGGTACTTAGATTTTTTTTTAAAATTAAAATAATTACGGTGGCATCATCCATATACAGATAGAGAAGGGATAATGTACTTTATACAGTGTGTGTCTAATATCACTTTAACCACCTCCCACCCGCCATATAGTAATAAGATGGGTGCAACGTGGTCATATGACATCCTCCCATTCTCACTGCGCATGCGCGGCTCAGGGAGCGTGCAGCGCAGTGATCGGCGGTGTGCTGTGTCCCTCAGACACAGCGGATCACCGATCACGGAAAAGAGCCGAAGATGTCGGCTCGGTCATGTGATCAGCTGTGTCCAATCACAGCTGATCACATGTAAACAGGGAAATGCCGGTTACCGGCATTTCTCTCCTCTCGAACTGTCATGCTGACAGCTCGAGAGGAGAGGAGAGCCGGTTATCAGCTTTCCACAGAGGGCACAGGTACACTGATCATCAGGGCACTGATGATCAGTGTGCTCTGATGATCAGTGTAGCCCCAGCAGTGCCACATATCAGTGTCCATCAGTGCCTTATGTCAGTGCTCATCAGTGCCTCGTGCCAGTGCCCATCAGTGCCACATATCAGTGCCTACCAGTGCACATCAAGGCCACTTATGAGTGCCCATCTGAGCTGCCTTTCAGTGTCACCCATCAGTGCCAGTCAGTGCCACCTATCAATGTCAATCAGTGCCACCTATCAGTGCTGCCAATCAGTGCCACCTATCAGTGCCAACTATCAGTGCCAGTCAGTACTGCCTATCAGTGTGCATCAGTGCTGCCTATCAATGCCTGTCAGTGCCGCCTAACAGTGCCAGTCAGTGCCGCCAGTCAATGCCGCCTATCAGTGCCTATCAGTCAGTGCTATGTATCAGTACTGCCTTTCAGTGCCCATCAGTGATACCTGTCAATGCCCATTGGTGCCACCTACCAGTGCCTCCTCATCAGTGCCCATCAGTGCCACCTATCAGTGTCCATCAGTGCAGCCTCATTAGCGCACATCAGTGAAGGAAAAAAACCACCTATTTACAAAATTTTATAACAAAAACTAAAGAAAAAAATTTTTTTTTCAAAATTTTCAGTGGTTTTTGGTTTGTTTAAGAAAAAATAAAAAACCCAGAGGTGATTAAATACCACCAAAATAAAGCTATTTCTGTCACAAAAAAATGATAAAAATTTCATATGGGTACAGTGTTGTTTGACCGCGCAATTATCATTCAAAGTGTGACAGTGCTGAAAGCTGGAAATTGGCCTGGCATCAGAATGGCGAAGAATGGGGATTTAAGTGACTTTGAGCATGGCATAGTTGATGGTGCCAGAGTATTTCAAAAACTGCTAATCTACTGGGATTCTCAGTCTCTAGGGTTTACAGAGAATGGTCCGAAAAAAAGAGAAAATTATCCAATGAGTGGCAGTTGTGTGGCCTTGCCTTGTTGATGTCAGAGGTCAGGGGAGAATGGGCAGACTGGTTCAAGATGATAGAAAAGCAACAGTAACTCATGTCAATATGGACCAAAATCTGAGGAATGTTTCCAACACCTTGTTGAATCTATGCCATGAAGAATTAATGCAGTTCTGAAGGCAAAAGGGGGTCCAATTTGGTACTAGCAAGGTGTACCTAATAAAGTGGCTGGTGTGTGTAATTCAAGTGTATATTTAGCTTCTTGCCTGGAGTTCATCTTATGTGTGGAGGTCCTTTTAGGAATACGCCTGCTGTGTCCTTTATTAGATTTAGACAGCACTGCATCATGTACTGCTTGTTAAATGAAGAACTCCCTTTCACCAAATGTCATCTTGTCAATATAATGGCTGTGTAATAGTGTCAATACTTTTGCCAGCCACCTGTTTAGCTTTACAGCTCAATTATCACTGCTCTCTTCCAGCACTGAGCAGTGTTATAATGATTTATTGAGTACATTTACTTTCTGACACAAGAAAAGAAATTCATGCACTCTCAGGTTACTCTTACACTGACATGTATATTAAATTTATGCACATTAAGCCTTCATGGGACTTCAAATACAGAAGCAGAGGAAATGGGAAAAAACAGTAAGACACAGCAGTTTTACTATTTGGTTTTCAGTTATAAACAAAAATAAAGCATCATAGGACTTTCCTAAAAGCTGAACTCCAGGTAAACAGCTAAATAAACAGTTCAAATACATGCATGCTAATTGGTTTATCTTCCAAGGATAATGTAATTTTGTGCAGCCATTCTTGTGATCTAGGCATCCTTGCCAGAAAATGGAGATGTCACCTTACTTCCTGTCCCAGTGACTACAGTCTCTGGGATACAAAGTGAGGGTAAATATCTCTAGAGAGTCTCAAGACAGCGATACAAAATCCAACAATGGTTGTAATTCTTAACAGCAAAAAGAGACCATAACTCTATTGGCCATACTTCTTCTGTGGGTCACAGGAGTGCGCTTAGTTCCGCACCCCTGTGACCTAGGTTCAGCCAACAGTGGGCTAAAGTCCCCTGTCAGCTGGCTTTACAGAGCTGGTCCAGGCTATGAAGGTATCCTGACAATAATGTTGGGATCCAACCAGATGCCCAACCAGCAGCTGGCTCAGCCTCAGCCAGCCACTCCCGCCCCCTCCACAGAGTGAGCACTGGAGAGGCAGCTCACAGTGTAGTGACTAACAGTCACTGATTCCTGCTCAAAAGACCTGAGGACTGAGTGATCAGCAGTCTTTGGCTCAGTTCTTGGTGTGGAGCTGGCAGGGGACAACTTCAAGCCTTCTAGGTGAGTATAAATGCTTGTTTTTTTGGATCCTGCACTTCTCTTTTAATGTCCAACTTCAGGCTCACCTTTCCTGTCCCTCAGTTCTCTCTCCGCAGGCCCCATGCTGTATTTTCTTGTTCTTATTTTATACTTACCTTTTTCATATGTGTTCATGCAGGTTATGTGATGTGCAAGGTCTTCTTCTGCTTTGGATCTTCTTTTTATGGGGTGGATATTCCTCAGTGGTAAAGGGATGACTTTGATGACACTCTGTACATCCTTACACTGTAATTGCAGGGGGGGGATGTTGATGCCCCTTCTGTTGTGAGTCCATGATGCCTTGTACTCACTGTATTAATAGATAGAAAATATCCTAGCATACCTAATAATTATACGTAAAGAAACAATTCAAAGAAAACAGGTGCTAAAGTCCCTAAATAGATTCTATCCTAATGATCCCAGAACACAAGTTATACTAAAACTAAAAACATTTTTTACCTTAATGCTTTCCTTTCATTAAGGAAAAAACGTTTTCTATTTTTCTGCGAGGGGGTTCCTGTGTGAAGGGGAAGAGAGGGGAAAATAAATCCAGCACTGTGCATGGCTGCATTTCTACTCTCCTCTCTTCCTCTTCAAACAGGGACTTGAGCAGCAGCAGGAGCCATTGGCTCTTGCTGCTGTTAATCAAATGGAGTGAGGAGGAAGTGGAGGGTGGGGCTAAATCCTACTGTGTAAGTTTATGGAGCGTGGATCCCAAGACAGATAGCTCTGTACTGTGCTGACACTGTGTCTCCATAGCAAGCGGCTTGCTATGGGTACACATGAAGAAGAGGAGGAGACAAGATCGCGGACAAGGGACCCGAGAAGAGGAGGATAGGGTCTGCTCTGTGCAACACCACTGCACAGAGCAGGTGATCATAACATGTTTGTTATTTTAACTAAAAAACATTTTTTTACTTTAGTAACATGTTTAAGTAGCAAACAAAGAACATAGAACTAACACATATATACAGAGAAATATGTCTTGTTAATAAAGGTGGTATTGGGAACAAACAAAAGAAGTTGCTGTATTTCTATGAATAGCCTAAACAAGTGTAGGGAGTAGCTCATACATGTAAAGAAGTTAAAACAGTAGCAAAGTAAACAACAAAATAAACAGAGCAGAAACTGGTCACCCAGTGAGGCAGAGAGTAATGAGGTCTGTACTTGTGACATTTCTGGGGTGTACCCCTTCTTCCTTTTTCTGCATATAGTGCAGTCCTATCTTCTAGTTTTGCACTCATAGTATGACCTCAATCATCTGAGTTGAATGGCTCTGAGGAAGAGGCTGAGTCCTCGAACCACGTTAGCCTGTTGGAAGTCCAGGGTTCCATTTTTTGGACTTAGATGCAGTGTGGATTGGACACCGCTGTTTCGTGTGATGTGCCTTTGTCTTATATGTCCATTGTGAGTACGATACTTACTTTTTATCCTTTTAATAAATACTTTTTATGATAACGCACTAGGCCGGTGCGCCCTCTTTTTGTTTTCTTTTGTATCCAGTGACTTTAGACTACCCCGGTCCATTGAGGGCAGCAAGGAGTGCATATTCCAGGACATCTAAATTGTTACCTTAGCCTCTGCTGAGTCCATCCCCAGCACAGGAGTACAGAGTTTGCTGTGTTTGCGTTGCCAATAACATTTGCCTGTCATATCTGCAGAGTTTTGAAGAATCAATCTTTATTTTTACAAGAGTGTGGCTTAGGGCTATAAACTGTATCAATATAATTTATATTACACTTACATTGTAACAGTTCATCATGGGATTGACAATAATCACAGCAATGTGTAATTACATGTGGTAAACCAGTAATTGGTGTTTAAAAGCTTCACCAAAACAGTACTGCTAGTGAGGCTTCTGAATACCAGCAGGGATCTTTGGGTTTGTCTTTTACGTGACAGTCTTGTATATTACGGCTCCATGCACTAGACTTTTAGAGCCTCATGCTGTCTCCGGTATACCTCCCCCATCCCCTGAAGGAGGCACAAGTGGTTCTGATCAATACTCACTAACCAAGGACAGACAAGAAACAAGAGGCTCTGTTCTCAAAGCTCACACATCAGAATAAGGATCCTTATTTAAAAAAAAGTGACAGTTACCGTATATACTTGAGTATAAGCCGACCCGAATATAAGCCGAGGTACCTAATTTTACCACAAAAAACTGGGAAAAACTATTGACTCGAGTATAAGCCCCATCATTAGTATCAGTGGGAGGAATAGTGCCCCATCATTGGTGTCAGTGGGAGGAATAGTGCCCCATCATTGGTATCAGTGGGAGGAATAGTGCCCCATCATTGGTGTCAGGGGGAGGAATAGTGCCCCATCATTGGTATCAGTGGGAGGAATAGTGCCCCATCATTGGTGTCAGTGGGAGGAATAGTGCCCCATCATTGGTATCAGTGGGAGGAATAGTGCCCCATCATTGGTGTCAGTGGGAGGAATAGTGCCCCATCATTGGTGTCAGTGGGAGGAATAGTGCCCCATCATTGGTATCACTGGGAGGAATAGTGCCCCATTGTTGGTGTCAGTGGGAGGAATAATGCCCCATCATTAGTATCAGTGGGAGGAATAGTGCCCCATCATTGGTGTCAGTGGGAGGAATAGTGCCCCATCGTTGGTGTCAGTGGGAGGAATAATGCCCCATCATTAGTATCAGTGACACCAATGATGCGACACTATTCCTCCCACTGACACCAATGACACTTGCTGACCCCTGTTGCAGTATGGTGCTGCTGCAGCCAGCATATGTGGTTGCAGCAGCACCTCTGCACTGCACACTTACCGGCTTTTCCCTCACTCGATTTTCGCGGGTCCGCTCGGCTCCGCCTCCTCGCCCGTGATTGGCCGCCTGTGTACTTTTCCTGAGCTACAGTTCTGGCGGCCAATCACCGGTGAGGAGGCGGAGCCGAGCGGCAGGAGTGAGGGAGTGGCCGGAGTGACGGAAGGAGCAGCGCTTCCTGGATGGATCATCGTGGGAGCCAGGTAAGAGACAGCAGCCCTCTGCCCACCCCTGTACGCGCCCCCCTTGACGTTGACTCGAGTATAAGCCGAGGGGGGCGTTTTTCAGCACAAAAAATGTGCTGAAAAACTCGGCTTATACTCGAGTATATACGGTATTTCCCACTAAGTCCAATGAGATTTAAAAATGATAATCACATGACTAAAATAAAGATTTTTTTATCTTTGGGCTAAAGCTTTGCAAAATCATCTCAAGGTGGTGTTCACAGCTTTGCTATAGATCACAGACACAAGGAAAACTTTATAGTACCTTATAGACTGCTTCTGCAAAAAGGCACGTCATGGACATTGTAAGACAGGGGTGGGCAAACTTTTTGACTTGAGGGCCGCAATGGGTTCATATATTGGACCCGGGGGCCGGACCAAGAGTAGATGAATGATGTGTATGTGTCATCCATAGTAAGTATAGTAATATTCCCCCATAGTAAGCATAGTAATTAATCCCCCATATAGTAATTCATCCCCCATAGTAATTCATCCCCCATATAGTAATTCATCCCCCATAGTAATTCATCCCCCATATAGTAATTCATCCCCCATAGTAATTCATCCCCCATATAGAGTAAGTCATCCCCCATAGTAATTCATCCCCCATATAGTAATTCATCCCCCATATAGTAATTCATCCCCCATAGTAATTCATCCCCCATATAGTAATTCATCCCCCATAGTAATTCATCCCCCATATATAATTCATCCCCCATAGTAATTCATCCCCCATATAGTAATTCATCCCCCATAGTAATTCATCCCCCATATAGTAATTCATCCCCCATATAGTAATTAATCCCCCATATAGTAATTCCCCCATCCCCCATATAGTAATTCATCCCCCATATATTAATTCATCCCCCATAGTAATTCATCCCCATATAGTAATTCATCCCCCATAGTAATTCATCCCCCCTATAGTAATTCATCCCCCCTATAGTAATTCATCCCCCATAGTAATTCATCCCCCATATAGTAATTCATCCCCCATAGTAATTCATCCCCCATATAGTAATTCATCCCCCATAGTAATTCATCCCCCATATAGTAATTCATCCCCCCTATAGTAATTCATTCCCCATAGTAATTCATCCCCCATATAGTAATTCATCCCCCATATAGTAATTCATCCCCCATAGTACTTCATCCCCCATATAGTAATTCATCCCCCATATAGTAATTCATCCCCCATAGTAATTCATCCCCCATATAGTAATTCATCCCCCATATAGTAATTCATCCCCCATAGTAATTCATCCCCCATATAGTAATTCATCCCCCATATAGTAATTCATCCCCCTATAGTAATTCATTCCCCATATTAATTCATCCCCCACAGTACTATTCCCCCCCAAGTAGTAAGCCAAGTCCCCCGTGTCTATTCACTTACCTTTGCTCCGCGCGTTCCTCTCGCCGTGTTCCCTCACGTTCGTCACGCTGCCCCGCCTACACACATCCTGACAGCCACATCCGCGGGCCGGATTAAAAGGTCCGCCGGGCCGTATACGGCCCGCGGGCCGTAGTTTGCCCATTGCTGTTGTAAAGTCTAATGTGCAGCCTTGGGCTTAGTGAGCACAAGTTCTAGACCCTGTCTGAAGAAACCAGGACTCTCTCTGGGTGGAAAGCCTCGGATCTGCTTGGATGCTACTCAATGAATGCAGCCAAACTCTGTCTTTCAGTATGTGTAAGGCTTGCATTTATAAAGTCCCATCAGGATCTCACTCCATGCTGCAATACAAGATGGTCTTTATTGGTTTCCTTCAAAAAGTTTGAATAACTGTTTGCAAATCTGTATAAAATGGTGTTTCCTGCTAGGTTATGGACACATGTCCTGGTGCTATCCTTTGCTGATGAACAGCTTTATATTAAAGCTATCAGGTTAGCATGCTCTGCCTCTTAAAACCCCTGCAGTGTAGGATGTCGATCATCCGGAGCGAAAGGTCAGCTAAATATTAGAAGATTGGAGGCTTAATTACAGGGCAATCCACTCTTATTTACACCTGCAAAAGTCCACTGAGGCTACAGCTCCACATACATGTATTAATAAAGGAGAGGAGAGTTGAGGATTGTAATTCACGTACAGGGCTAAATATCAGCAGAGATGACATTTCCTAACTTGGCTGTTAATCTCACTGTGAGAGTTACATATCTTTTGGATATACATGAAAGACATCATCTTAAAGAAGACCCAGTCACTTGATAAATCTGATAGAAGCTTTAACATCTTACAGTGGCTTTAAAGATTCAACATTTTTTTACCTTTTTTTGCATTAAAGTAAAAAATGTCCCAGTAATTTTATCTCATCCTCCCTGTATGACTTAACTGAATCCTATCTCGATTCAGCGCTGCGCCCATCTGCAGTGGCTCTCCTAACAGGGTTACTGTAAGGGTTACAAGGAGAATTATTTGAGTTTTAGTATTAGAATTATACATAGGGGTCATATATGCGTTAACTACCACTGACATCTGGGCATTTGAGAAACTGGGAAATTGCACTACGGCGCATTTTTGCTGAATTTTTAATGCCTACATATGCCAGGAGGCAGTACTGAGGCATAAATCATCATAACTACCATATTTTTTTCGATCCATAAGACGCACCTGACCATAAGACGTGCCTAGGTTTTAGAGGAGAAAAACAAGAAAAAAAATATTCTGAACCAATGGACTGCAGACATAGTACAGGAAGTGACCAGACACTTCGGACATAGTACAGGAGATGACCAGAGACTGCAGACAGTACAAGAGATGACCAAAGACTGCGGACACAGTACAGGAGAAGGACCAGAGACTGCGGACACAGTACAGGAGATGACAGGAGAGACTGCGGACACAGTACAGGAGATGACCAGAGACTGCGGACACAGTACAGGGGATGACCAGAGACTGCGGACATAGTACAGGAGATGACCAGAGACTGCAGACATAGTACAGGAGATGACCAGACAGACTGCGGACACAGTACAGGAGATGACCAGAGACTGCGGACACAGTACAAGAGATGGAGATGACCAGAGACTGCGGACTGCGGACAGTACAGGAGATGACCAGAGACTGCGGACACAGTACAGGAGAAGGACCAGAGACTGCGGACACAGTACAAGAGATGACCAGAGACTGCGGACATAGTACAGGAGATGACCAGAGACTGTGGACACAGTACAAGAGATGACCAGAGACTGCGGACACAGTACAGGAGATGGACCAGAGACTGCGGACACAGTACAGGAGATGACCAGAGACTGCGGACACAGTACAGGAGATGACCAGAGACTGCGGACACAGTACAGGAGATGGACCAGAGACTGCAGACACAGTACAGGAGATGACCAGAGACTGCGGACACAGTACAGGAGATGACCAGAGACTGCGGACACAGTACAGGAGATGACCAGAGACTGCGACAGACACAGTACAAGAGATGACCAGAGACTGTGGACATAATACAGGAGAAGACCAGAGACTGCGGACATAGTACAGGAGATGACCAGAGACTGCGGACACAGTACAGGAGATGAGATGGACCAGAGACTGCGGACATAGTACAGGAGATGACCAGAGACTGCAGACAGTACAGGGCATGACCAGACACTGCGGACCTTGACCAGACACTGCGGACCCTTTAGGGAGGGGGGGGAGCGGGTACCTGAATTTGAAGGTACCCGCTCCCACTTCCGCGGAGTTCTCCTTCCTATACTGTGGGCCCCGGACTTTGACAGCCGGGTGCCCACTGCGCATGTGCGAGAAGTGCTGCGCTTTGTGAATGGCCCGGCATCTTTTGGGACCTGTTATGTGTCCCAGAAGACACCGGACCATTCACAAAGTGCAGTGCTTCTCACGCGTGCGCAGTGGGCACCCGGCTGTCACAGATGCCGGGGCGGGAAGACTACAGCGCTGGACCGAGGAACAGGTGAGTTCCTGCTGCAGAGAACAGCTGAGTGGCCGGCCCGGTATTCTGACATGGTGGTGGTGGAAATACCGGACCGGCCGCTTTATATTCGCTCCATAAGATGCACTGACATTTTCTTCCGAAAAATACGGTAATTAAAAAAATGATAGCTTACAAAAATAATTTTTGGACTGACCCAGCTTCCATAAACTGAAAATTAATTGGCTCATACTTTTCAGGTCAAAATTGCTGGCTCTTTTCCCACTGCTTTATTGAATAGGTCTGTTTAAAGATGAACATCTTTTCTGCAATAAAAAAGTTCTGTTTGTAGGGTTCCACCATCCAAGCACAACCTTGATAAAAAACCTGTTCCTTTAACAGTGTAAGTGTGATCTATGTTCAGCATGTTGTATCACCGGAGTGTAGCTAAGTTATTCAGAACAGTAAAGTGCTATTTGGTTTGATAATGATTAACAGCTAGGATAATCTTTACATTTTTCTTTAATTTCTTGAAATATTTAGTTGGGATTCCTTAACGCTAAGCTCCAGACAGATCTAAAAGGTACATATTGATGCAGCTCTGTATTAAAGTGTTCATTCACCTTGACAAAAAGGTGTAAAGTAAAAAAAGTAAAGGTGAACTAAAGCTTGGTTCACACTATTGCGAGCCATGCCGCCCATTTTTGCGCAGGCACAATCCCCCCATTCACTGGAATGGGCTGATGTACCCATGTTTGAAAACGTGGCCAAAGGGAAACCGCATAGTATTTTTGACCATGCGGTGTCCCTGCAGTTCCCACACATGCAATTGCACTTCTGGCTGACATACATGGAAGTGCCATTCAGAATGAATGGTTCAGCAGACTGGGGATTTGAAATCCCCTCTTTTCTTCCTCTTCTCTGTGCAGGGCTTCTGGGATGGATCAGAGCAATTCATTGTGATGGCACTGAGCAATTAGAATACACATTATGAATGATTTACTGTTCAATTTGCACAGCAAATGTTTGGAGGACATTTGTCCTTCTATTTAAAGAAATAGATAATCATTTTTTAGGAGGCGAAACAAGATTCACCCATCAACTGCCGCATTATACATAGGGTGATAATGATGGGCAAATCCTGTTTGAGTAAGGCTGGCCATACACTTTACAATTGTCTGTCCAATTTCTTCCCAATTTCCTTTAGATTTACCTTCAACTATGTAGTGCAAGGGCCCGCCTATTTGGATACAATCGAAAGTGTTGTTTAGGTTTGACCTCATATTATATGGTTTTTTGGTAAATCTAAACCAGAAATCTTAAGAACATTCTATAATGTATGGCCAGCCTTAGAGTTGAGAATAATGGGTGAATGGCTGAGTCTTGCTTGTTAATGGAATCTATTATGTTGTATGTGACTGCTGATGGGTACCTCTTAATAAAAGTGATGTGGAAACCCTCTTTAAAAATGATTAACAAATCCTATAATGTGTATGGAAGGACAAACATCCAGTAAAAACTCACAACAAATTCTTTATAAATAGACCCTTAATGAATTAGGAACTACCTTTATTAGATCCGCCCCACATTACCCCAAACCCACACTATCTAAATCAGCTTTTCTCAACCTTTTTAATACAAAAGAACCCTTGAAACACTTTTCCTGTCTTAGGGAACCCCTGCTAAATGATTACATCTCCAGCTCAAAAGAATAAAGAATGTAGTGTGTCTAGCATACTTAAAGCAGAGCTCCACTCAAAAGGGGAAGTTCCACTTTAAGTACTGGTCCCCCGCTCCCCGTTGGGAATTTGCAGTGGGGGGGGGGGCAGGGACCGTATTTTGACAGGTACCCACTCCCACTTCTGCTGCGACCACCTAGGTGATCAAAAAAGGAAGTTGTCCTCCCTTCCCGTAGTCTTCTGGGACACGTGACAGGTCCCAGAAGACTACAGGGCCATTCACAAGGCAGTGGGCACCTGACTGTGAATCCACAAGCTGTTGCAGCTGGGTGCCCACACTTAGGATGATGGCCAATGAAAGCAGCTGCTGTGAGTACACTGCTGGATCATGGGACAGGGCTGTTTTTAAAATATCAGTGGCTTCAGTTTTTGTAGCTGCTGACTTTTATTTTTTTTAAGGTTTGACTGGACAACTGCTTTAACACCCAGAGCAGATTGCTTTATTAAACACTCCCCTGTTCTATAAGAAAAAACTGTCTCAGTAACAGTCATGAAATGGAACAAATAATAACAATGGCCAGAAAAGAAATGGCAATAGTGAAAATTTTAGTGCCCCTAACATTGGTGGTCAATGGAAAAGTGCTTTGGTGGCCAGTGTAGTGGTTCCATTTATTGGTAGCCAATGAGAGAAGGACCCCTTACACCAGTCTTTCTGAACCTTTTTAACATGGAGGAACGTTTGAAATCCATTTTTGGTCTCAGGGAACCTCTGCTAATAATTACTATATCTACCACCTTACCGTGATGGTCAGTGTAAGGAATTCCCCTTACATTTATGGTCAGTAGGAAGAATTCCCTATATTGATGGCTAGAAAAAAAAAATCACTGGTTTCAGTGGTTACTTATCCAAGAGGTAGACATTGCTCAATACTCCTGTAGGGGAACTCTAAAATTCCATGGAAGCCTAGTTGAGAAAGGCTGCCTTATACTAATGATCAGTGGGAGAAGGGCACTCAATATTGTTGACAAGTGGGGAAAGTGCCCCCTTACACACAGCTAAAAAGATAATTAGTATCAGTGGTTACTGGGAGTTAGAAACTCTTCATCTCCCCCTAGCAACCTCTGGATGAACCCCAGGGTACCACATAACCCTGGTTTAAATAAATAATAATAAAGAGTTGCTATGCTGGGAAAAAATAAAAGACATCACATTTATCTGGTTACATGATGTTTCATGAAATCTCACCCCCATAAAAAGCCTTGTGTGCCTGATTATAGACATCAGTTATTTTTATTTTTTTGTGTCAGGTAGTTTGATGGATGTTTAATGATATCCTGTAGAGTTTCTAGAAGTGCTTTTTTTGTTTTCTTTTGACTGCCAAATAAATTACTCCTCAGTTAGGCACAAGAAAACAAGAACAGGTTGTTTATAGGAAGGGTGCAGGATTCATAGCGAAGAGACAACATACTTCACTCTAAACCATGTAGATAGTATATATAACTCAGGAACAACTGTGTTATGGGGCACTGCTTATTCCTTTGGCTTTGAAATCAAAAGTTTCATTGGACTTTGACTTCTCATAGGGCTCACAATAAAGCTTTTTATTGCAAAAGAGACATACTACAGTACGTGTAGGTAGCTTGTCACATTACTGGTGGGGAAGTGAGCACTGGGGACTAAACTCTACTTTAAGAAAAAAAAGACGTGTACAAAGAAAAACTAAGAGACTGTGCTACTATGATGAAACGTAAGTATATAACAACAAAAAAGATAGCAAAATAGCAATATATGTTTTAAATTTGCAATATATATATATATATACACCTCTGCATTTCTGTCAGATATGCACCACTTCACCCAGAAAATTGATGCACTTACAAATGTTTACACATTCTCATGTTTATTTATTTTGTTTGTATTGCATGCCACAAAAAAGTAGAGAAACAAAAAGCCAAATCTGACACATTCCATGTAAAACTCCAAAAATGGACTGGACAAAATTATTGGCACCTTCTCAAAATTGTAAGAAATATTTGCTTTCCAAGTTTGTGATGCTCCTGTAATTTGTAATTAAACTCAACTGTATCAATTTATAGATCTTAATGTTCCTGTGCCCACTGTGCACAACATTGTCAAGAAGTTTATAGCCAATGGCACTGTAGCTTATCTCCCTGGATGTGGACGAGAGAGAAAAACTTGATCAAAGATTGCAATGAAGGATTGTTCGAATGATGGATAAAGAACCTCGATCAACTTCCAGATAAATTCAAGCTGACCTTCAGGCACAGGGCACAACTGTGTCAGCTCACACTATGCGCTGCCATCTGAATTAAAAGGTACGCCATGGTAGGAGACCCAGGAGGACACCATTGCTGACAAAGAAACATAATAAAGCCAGATTGGAGTTTGCCAAAAGTTACATGAGAAAGCCAAAAATCATTTTGGGAGAATGTGCTGTGGACAGATGAAACAAGATTACAGCTTTTTGGTAAAGCCCATCATTCTATTGTTTTCAGAAATGAGGCCTTTGAAGAAAAGAATACACTCCCTACAGTCAAACATGGTAGTGGTTCACTTATGGTTTGGGGTTGCTTTGCTTCAGGCACTGGATGTCTTGACCTTGTGCATGGCACTATGAAATCTATAGACTAACAAAGAATTCTAGGATGAAATGTAGGGCCCAGTGTCAGAAAGTTGGGTCTCAATCAGAGGTCATGAATCTTACAGCAGGACATTGACCCAAAGCACACATCAAAAAGCACCCAGAAATGGTTTCAGACAAAGCACTGTAGAGTACTGAATTGGCCGGCAATGAGTCCAGATCTCAATCACATAGAGCACCTGTGGAAAGATCTCAAAACAGCAGTTGGGAAAAGGAACTCTTCCAATCTGAGAAACCTGGAGCAGTTGGCAAAGAAACTCATTGAAGGAAGGATTGATTTCAGTTATTTTTTCCAAGGGGTGTGCTACCAAATATTAAATTGAGGATGCCAATATGTTTGTCCAGTCCGTTTTTGGGGTTTGGCACGGAATGGGTCAGTTTTTTTTTCT